TTGATCTTCTAAATATTTTGAGAAGCAATTAAAAATTGTCACCATTTAGGTCTCTTTTCTATGATGAAAAAGTGTGGTTTATATACTCGCAGGAGAAAAAAGTTGTTCCAGTTGTCAACCTTCTGAGCTCCAGATAAGGAATCTGAGCTCCAAACTTACTTTACGTCTGTTGCTGAAGGAGAGGTTGAGTTTTTGTTGTTTTGATCTTCTAAATATTTTGAGAAGCAATTAAAAATTGTCACCATTTAGGTCTCTTTTCTATGATGAAAAAGTGTGGTTTATATACTCGCAGGAGAAAAAAGTTGTTCCAGTTGTCAACCTTCTGAGCTCCAGATAAGGAATCTGAGCTCCAAACTTACTTTATGTCTGTTGCTGAAGGACTTCCTGGGCCGTGGGGGACTTTGAGTTTTGAAGCAAATAACAAATAAGACCTCTCTAGTTCCTGGTTAGCTTCTCTGGCAGCTTAACCACCGTTGTAGAGTTGGGCTGGTTTGAGTTAATGGGTGTACAGTTCATCCAGAGGGATGCTGAAGTTCTGAGAAGTAAGGTGACAAGTAAAAGACTAACGTTTTAACAATTGTGTGTATGGTGTGCAACATGAGGGACACAGTGGTGATTGAAATAAAATACTTAGATCTCAGTAAAATAATCTCAGTTTGTGCTCCCGTCTCACCGCCTGTCTAAAGATTAAATGCAATATAGCATAGCACAAACAAGGATATCTGCCAGACTAGATGCAATGTGTGGCATAATGAATAAAATGGGAAGCTTCAAAAGATAAGTAGTTCTTTAATTTTTTTCAGTAGGAGCTTACATTACAAAATAGAATTCCTTCTAGGGGACATTCTCAGGTAGTCCAGGTCTGTAATGGGTAAAGGGGAAAAAAAGGTGAGGGAGATCCATCAAAAGAGAAGCTGCTTTCCCTTCCACATTATTTTGCATATTATGTAGATTAGCACTTTATTTCTGTCATTTCAGGAGCCCTTAGGATTGTATAAGTAGAGTCCAAAAAGCATGAGACGTTACAGCAACAGAATGGATTAATGAGATTTGTTTTACTTCTTACTGCAGGTCTAATTTCACTCAGTGGGAAGGTGTACTTCACTGGTTTTACTACCTACTTGTCTCACGAATTCCTTCAAACAGTGCTAGGTGTAATAGTGATTAGTCACACCGAGGTCATGGGATTACTCAAAATAGTAAGTGCTGTTTTCAGTGGTGCTGGGAGCATGCTCTTAATGTGTAAGTGCTTTAAGAGGATGGTGGGTCGTCTTATTCTTTGCACAGCACTGAGCACACATTTAGGGCTGTATTCAGAAGATGTTTGTGGATGTCCTCCTGATCAATAGAGTTGAGTACCTCTGAAGTCACTGAACAGTAGCTGGAGGCCTACAAAAGGCATGGAGCAGGGAGTTAGTTGGAAGATCCTCAGTAGACACAGGGATTTGGGTAGAATTTCTTGACGTATGGCAGGTGATATACGGTGATATATGACAGTTGTGATTTAGTCTGTAGTGAAAGGCGTACTTGTGGTGACAACATAATTTAGAATGATGTAATTGAGCTTAGGAAGCACAAGTCTAATTGAAGGGTTTTAAGTGTACTTTAAGAACTGCTAGATGGACAGCACATACTTTTCTGAACACGTGTGGTTCTTTTTTATAAAAATGAGGAAAACCATTTATCTAGCTCTTGTTTGAAATTGCTAGTTGCATTAACTAGACAGAAGTTGTCTGAGGATGCCTTGATTAGAGAATGTGTTGTGCTTAAGGTGTGGGTTTTGAATAATATAGTGATGAATATATGTTGTAAGTTTCTGGATTTCCTTGGTCCTCCTAGAGACCAAGGAGACCTGAGGACAACACCTTTTCATATTTTAGTGCTCTCTTAAGGCTTTCATTGGGAATGATCCCATTATTTTGAAGGCTCTTGCAATGCAGCAGGTTGCCATGGCTGTCAGTGAGAGTTACAATTGCAGTTATTCTTTCTAATGAGAACTTGAAAGATGACAGATGGATATGAGTTTAACCAAGTACTTGTGCTTTGCTCTGGCTTTGTCTTTCTGGATCATGTTCGCTTATTTGGGTTGGTATCCAAACAGCGTTTGCACATACCATATGTTTAGCACGTCAGCGAAGAGTGTTGCCTTTCAGATACCCAGCTTGGTTATGAGTATTTTAGCATATGGAAGAAGTGCCCATAGGCAATGGTGAAGGGCTTTGCATATGGAAACTTCATAGCCTCCTCATATGGTAAAAACAGTATTCCTTAGTAGAGATGTTCACAGCCAGGAAACTTCTACTTGTCTACCACGATATTTGGGCCTTCCCTTGTTCCATTTCACAATATTGCCTTTTCTCAAATTTGGTCTCTAATTGTTTTCAAGTTATGGGGGGAGGAGACATGAAATGTTGAGTGTGAGAGGGGGATTCTTCTATTTCTGAAAACGGTTTGGTTTGATCGAGGACCTCTGTGATTGATGTTATGTATTATTTAGCTTTCTCTTAAGTGGATTGATATCCATATAAGTCTATAAGGAGAGTCATTGAAAAAGTGCATGTCAACAGATGCAGAAAATAAATGAATGCAGTCAATACCTTCTCAATATAAATGAATGCAGTAAATACCTTCTCTCTGTTTACAGAAAATGGCGTTTAGACACTGCAGTGCATTTTCCTGTGTCTATATATGATTAATAAGCACAAATCAAGTTGTACCATCATATGCAAATATGATTGATGATACTTGAAAAAAAGGAGATAGAGTAATATCACCTAGCTCACCTGCTGTGTCAGTTCTGCCTTGTTATTTTAACTACCTTCTGGGTGTTTCTTTTTCAAACACTGAAACCTAAAGAACTTAAATAAGTATGAATTGTTTAAGTTTCCTACCACTTTTTAGGCTTGTGAAGTAGGAGAACATTGAGATGTGTGATATATCCATCTCTGCTGACTAATGAATTAATCATTTTTCAAGTTTAATGGGAAAGATTCAGCGGTAGATTGTTTTCTAGAGAAGGTAAACATCAACTCCAACTGTAATTCACAATGTGTTTAAAACAATTATTCTTTATCATTAAGGTTAATAATATGCACATTAACCTCTGATGTAGTCTGAATCAATACTGCAGTTTGGGAGATGTGACCCCTGGACAGCTTTGTCTAAATATTGATTTCATTGTCATTTGTATAAGGTATGAAACAAATTACATGCCTCCCTAATATCATTAATGTAGCCCCATTGAGCTACTCAATTTATGGCTTCTTATAATGCATGACAAAGCATTACGGAGTTATTGAAGACATTGTGAAATACAATTGCTTAGTGTGCTAGATTTGATTGTGGAAGGCCAATGCCAACACTCAATAACTTTCAAACACTTTGCTGTCCAAGGAAAGTCCAAAGACAAGAAAGAGCCACTCTGTAGTATGCAACTCAGTTGTTAATTTCCATCAAAGTTCCCTTGGGTTCTGGGAGCAGCAATTTATTCTACAGCTTTCTACTTAGATATTTGTAGCCTTACATGAAAATAATGCATACACTTGTATTCTGTGCCAAAGGCAAATGTTGTTCATCTTCAATTACTGGAGGAAATCAAAATAGGTAGGAGGGATAGCATCTCTCTGTCTTGGCCAGCATTTATAGTGGTTGTCATTACTGTCATAATTTGAAATACGAGTTAACTAATTTACTCCACACCGTTATTTCTTCCCTTTATTGCCTCTTTATTGCAATTGTCTTCTCACCGTGCCCCTCATGTTTTCGTTGCTGCTCCTTCCATCATAGCTGTTCCTCAGATCTTTCTTGCGACACCTTCTTACCCTTCCAGGAAATTTTAAGGTTGCCCCAAAACTCTGGAGTTACCACTTCCCTTCTTTTGCTTCCTCCCTCTTTGGAGAGATCCTTTTTTACATAAGCAAACTGATGTTAAGCATGAGATTCAGGTGTCTGCTTTCCTTCTCCTTTCCAAATACAAACCTTGGCCTCATGGATATCTAAGAAAAAGCTTAGTATAAGTTTCATGTCTTCTCCCTAAACTTTCAGTTGGGATGATTTTTCTTGCTCTTTGCTTGGTATCTAAGCACTGCTCACCTGTAGTCATTGGCTATAAGCTGCTTATTTCACATGCAGGGGCGCGCACGCACACACACACGCACGTCCTTTCCCCATTCTTTTTCTTTAGCTTAAAAAAAAAAAGCTTCCATATCCAGTCTAGGGATACCGCTTCCATTATCTACATACTACATTTTCAAAGCAGCATCTTCATACTTTCTCCTGTGGTGGCTTTCATGCTGAGGGAGCTTCTTGTAAATATATGCAAAGCTACTTCATTGTGCTTTAATGTATACAAAAATCTCAACCACGTTTGAGCTTCTGCTGTGCTGAGACTACAGCCCACCATTCCAGCTGATACCGTCTCATTGTTTAATTGTACTTGCCCGTTTTCTCTGGTGCTGGGCTTTTATCTGAGGCTGTCTTTAAGGCTTTTCGATTTTGGGGAGAGGATTTGTACAACATGAAACATGTAGGGCATAGTAATCTTTGGATAAGTATCATAGGTGCTATGTTATTACAAATAATATGGAATAATACATTTCCTACATATCAAAATGCTCTAATTATGTTATCATTACAGTCAATGTAGGATTGGCACCATTAAAGTAAAGTTCTCTCAGCTGTCTCAGAAGGGTGCTTGGCACCTTTTAGGAACATGCTGTTTTTTCATCAGAAAAGTCTGTATGATGATTTTCTTTTCTTTTCTTTTCTTTTCTTTTCTTTTCTTTTTTTCTTTTCAATGTTGATAGATTACGGAGATGAACAGCCTGTTATGAGCATCTTGAATATAATGCAGATCATAGGACTTCTCTGAATTAATTCCTGAGGGAATTACAATGCAGCTTAGGAAAAAAAAAAAAAAAAAAACAACTAATTTTTATTTAAACCTTGCTCATGGTGGGTTTTCTTAGTTCACAAATTTTGTTCCAAATTTTCTCTTATAGGTAAAAGCGACCCATTTTGTGTAGTTGAATTGAACAATGACAGACTGCTGACACATACTGTCTACAAGAACCTCAATCCAGAATGGAACAAAATCTTCACATTGTAGGTGTTTGGATTTTGTGAGTGTTTGGGGTGGCTTGGGGGTTTTTTGGGGTGTTTGGGGGGGGTTGGGGGGTTTTTTTTTTTTTTTTTTGGGGGGGGGGGGGTTTGAAGGGGATGTACATGTGAATCGAAGATACCTACTGCTGATTCTGAAGAAAGATAGTGATGCCATACTGATATTTCTAAACCAAACAGCTGAATACTTTTTTAAGGATTAAAAACATGAAAAAAATTAGAGAAGAGGTACCATTTTAAAGGTAAAAAAGCAAGGTCTGTTTCTTTGAAACCAGGTATGAGTAATGCTGAGCACTCCAGACTCTTGCTAGCTTCAGTGAGCGTTTCAAGGGCCAAATCCATCACACTGGATTTGGTCCTGAAGTTTTGGGTGGGAAAAAGGGTATTGTGATTATGACCGTCAGTAAAATGTGGTTGTTAACTGTAATAACCATTAGATAACTATATAAAGGAAGGAATTTTAAATGCATTCATACTTCTCTGAATTGTGATCAGATACTTTCCACTTGTTGTTTCCATTTACCAACTGCACTTCTCACAATACTGTCTACTGTCATACTAGTACAATGCTGCTATTGGGTAATAGCAGCAGTCTTAAACACTTAGTTTATTGGGAAGTGATGCAGTTGAGTTTTTTTATCCTTCTGTTATTTTGAAGACAGTAAAGGCTCTGACAAAATAGAAGAAAGTCTTCCACAAAAAAAATGTTCCTGTTATTTGTCTTGCTCAGTTGCCTTCTTTTTCTCCCTGCTTCTCTCTATCTGACTGCCATGTGACACCAATGAGTAGAAAACTGATCAGTTGCAGGTTTCTCTGCTGCTGAAATCAGCTAACAATCCACTGCAAAAATCAGTAGAAGCTTTAGCTTTGTGTACACTTACTTCACTTTATCATAAATGAAAATACTATGTTTTGCCCTTGATCTTAGAACACAGCCTGATTTAATTTTATTTTTTTTTTCCTCCTCTAAATTTGTCATTCATGTATTTGGCATCCGTAGCTTTTCTTGCCCTGCAGTGAGCTCTCAGGAATGAACTCAGAACAAAAGAAAAAATCTCACAACAGTTGTACTTCTCATTAGCTTATTAACGTAGTTCTCATTTACGTATCTGCAAAACCACACTAAATTCTTCATTAATTTATTTTTAATTATCTACTAATAGACCCAATAACTAATCAACCTCTACTGCTCAACAGTGTTCTCTGCATAAGAAATTGCCTGGTTTTGTAGAGGACAAAAGACTAATCAGGAATCAAATAGAAAAACTCAAAAGGCCTTCAAGGAGAGTTTTCACCTCTCTTCTGTGTATATTTGCATTGACTATTTTATTTATCCTCCGATTTGTTAATTAATTTTGGGCTAGCAATCCCCTTTCATCTGGAGGCTTATCTTTTACTGAAGTTAAACTGCTTTGCTTGAATTTGTATTTCCTGGATCAGCCATTTGATCAAAGATGAGTTCTCTCAAACAATTACGTTTTTTTCTCTGAATAAGGAATGTGAATTTTTCACTTGAGAATTTACAATATACAGTGGCATTTGTTGTGCATGGTGGTGGAGTGTTTAATAGCTTGCAGGCAAAAAACAGTAGTAGCTGAAAAATGCATCGTTTTGTATTGCTTGTTCCTAATCTGTTGCAATGACTGTTGTATATTTGTAATTAAGGAAGGATTTTAGAATTAAAGAGGTTGTTCTCAGTGCAAGGATGTGCTCGTGTAGCTCGTAATCATTTTCATTTACAAACCTACAGATTTCACAGTATTTGCAGTAAGAATTGCTGCAGGGATAGCAGTGTGTAAGGGATAGTCTTTAAAGGCTCTCAGTCCTGCTGCTCGCGGCTGTAAATCCCCCAGTGCTGCTCGGCGCTGGCTCTCCTTGCGGCTCATGCGGCGCAAACGCCAGGTAGGAGATTTAAAGCAACATCCTTCGGAAAACTTCTGCTGGGAAAGCCTCACAGAGAGAGAGAGAGCGCGATCGCTGCAGCCCTCTACCTTAGAAAGCATTTCGGTTATACGGAGGGATGCCTCATTTACTTAAGTTCTGTTCTCTGCCATGGCATGGAAAAATAGACGGGTATCTGTTTTTGCTAACCTTTCACGCTTTTGTCCTTGGTACCTGCTGGTGTAGGTGACTTCTCTCTTCTGTGTGTGCTTCTCCCTTTGTAGCAATATTAAAGACATCCACTCGGTGCTTGAGGTGACAGTTTATGATGAAGACCGCGATCGGAGTGCTGACTTTCTAGGCAAAGTTGCTATACCGTTGCTGTCTGTAAGTTTCATTCACCTGACATGCCGCTCTGTATTTTTCCTGCTGAAGGAGGGGAAGAGGTGACTTCTCTCTTCTGTGTGTGCTTCTCCCTTTGTAGCAATATTAAAGACATCCACTCGGTGCTTGAGGTGACAGTTTATGATGAAGACCGCGATCGGAGTGCTGACTTTCTAGGCAAAGTTGCTATACCGTTGCTGTCTGTAAGTTTCATTCACCTGACATGCCGCTCTGTATTTTTCCTGCTGAAGGAGGGGAAGAAAGAGGGGGGGGGAAAAAAAAAAAAAAAAAAGATTTGCAGCTCTGTGTCTGTCATTTCTCAACCGAGGTCTGTAATAAGAACACTAAAATTTTAACATACTCAATTCACAGCCATGTTGAATCCCATGATAGTTAATTTTTCCTGACAGACTCGGTCCTGGTAATGAACAGGTACTTGTCAGACTTGCCACAGTTGTTTTGGGTTCTCTGTCAGTTTCAGCAGCTGGGGGTCAGGGGTCACCGGGGGGGTGTATTCAGCGGAGACCGCGAGACAGACGGCTGTCATGTCCTTTTCCTGCAGATTCAAAATGGTGAACAGAAAGCCTACGTCTTGAAAAACAAGCAGCTGACAGGGCCAACAAAGGGGGTCATCTATCTTGAAATAGATGTGATTTTTAATGCTGTAAGTCTTAACTTTGGCTTTTTTGTACTGCTAAAGAGTTGAGTTTCATGAAAGCTTTTGTTCCTGATTTGTAGAGAATTTCTGTCATTCCTCATTTTCTCTAAACCTTGATGTATACTACAGAATACTCTTCTGCCACTGCCTGGCACACCCACTCTTTTTGTTGCTGCTGCCGCTGCTATTGCTGCTAATGTAAGGAGCAGCAGCTCATGCCTCTGTGTACGTTTATGTGTCGCGGGCTTGGCAGCCATGACTTTGAAACTTCGTAATTTTTGCAAATTGAAGCATGTGTTATTAGCAAGGAGCGAGTAAGCTTGAAATATTGACACACATTTTAATGCGTAGGTGAAAGCCAGCATACGAACCTTAATGCCCAAAGAAGTGAAGTACATTGAAGAGGAAAACAGACTGTCTAAACAGGTAAAGAGTAAGGAAACACTAATCCTTTCCGAAAGCCTTAATATCAAGTATGCACATCCAAATATCTGGTGTCATACTGCTGAGGGTAAAGAATAACATTTTCATTACCTGTTTACAAAAGAATATGATAGGTCAGAAAAGGCAGAAACAAAATACATGGATTTGTTGTGTCTCCCCTATAAATTGCAGCTTAATTTCCATGAAATACGTGAATAAGAACACAGTTGAAACCATCAGGTTCCACACATATCAGATTATAGCACAGGTGCATGTAAACTAAGCCTTGCATAAATTTTTGCTGTTAACTTTGACCTGAAAGATCACCGTTTGTTGCAGGGTAGAGAGTCTTTCAGCATTCTTTTAGCCAGATTTTAAATAAGTTAGTTGAGTGAGGTTTGAATCAAAGGTGAAAGCAGACTAAAACTCTGTATTACTTTTGAGAGTCCTGTGGGTAGGACATGTCTGGACCCTTTTTCTTTTTTTTTCTGGATATTTTTGCCACTCACAGTTCTAATGTTCTGGTAAAAAATATTTAAACACACATCTTATCTTTTTCTCCACTTGAACTACTTTTGATTCAGTTTTTCATGTTCCACAAATGATGTATTTTATATGGAGAGAACTGGGCTTTTGATTGGACTGTGGGAACAAGGTATTTGTTTTTTGCAGTGAAAAGGCAAAGGTCTCAAAACTGGTCTTTATTTTGCTGAAAGCTTATAGACTTGAGCATAATTTAAATTATCTGCTGGATGAATTTTATATCGGTTGTATTATGTATTTCATTAAAAAAGATTTCAAGAGGCAAAATATTTCTTTCTTTACTGTTGTGAGTAATGCAGTTACTAAAGCTACATTTTGCACTGCTATTCCAGCAAAGAAGCAGCAAGGCTTTTTATTCAAGATTCATTCTTCTCCCCACTTTCATAACAGAAAATGGCATTGTTCTTTTTGCAGATGGCAGGAGGAATAAACTTTAAATACCCACTTTGGGTTGTTTTTTTTTTTTTAAATTAGCTTGCATGGGACACCCCACCACAATACCACTTCGGGCGAGGAAAAAAAAGGAATCTTTATGTATGACTGATGCGGTTGCATTTTAAAACATCCACATTTTCCAAGAGTGAATGTCTTACCTACCTAGCATTTTCTATGCTACCTAATACACAAATTAAATCGTTACCTGGTTGGTTCACTTTTTTTTGCTCAAGTGTATTGCCATTTTAGAGAATTTAAGCATTCTCCTGAATCGAAACCCAGTGCTGTTATGTCTCATCTCTATATATTTTGAATGTATGCAGTTACAGTTACTTTGATGAATACTTAAAAACATGCGGTCAACATACATCACAGCAGACAAATTTGTTACAAATGAAGGAAAAATTGGATGTAAAGGGTGCAGGTGATCTTAATTAGATTAGAGCAGTAATTTTGCATGGTTTCAAGTTAGTGTCCTACAGCATCTTTTTATTAAGAAAGGCCAAAATTTGTTAAGTACTTGAGAATGGGGAAAGTCTTGCCTACTTAATAGAACTCTGAAATCTTAATAACAAAATCATTTGTGAAATTTTGCAAGTGGCTTTTTAAAATTGAACAACAATTTTTGTACCATTTAGAATTAAATTCAACAAATATCAGTTGACACAACTAGCAAATTCTCGCTCTTCCAAGCCTCTCAAATTTTAAACTATCTTTCTCAATTTGTAAGCTAGAGAGCTTAACATGTTATTTTCTCAGTCTTCACTGAAATTAAGAATGACAATATTTTAAGCATGAGCCTCTTCTGAAGCTTTTGGCATTTTTAAACTTTTTCATTCTTTCGTCTTTTTAACAGCTACTGTTAAGAAACTTTATCCGGATGAAGCGTTGTATCATGGTGCTCATAAATGCCGCCTACTACATTAACAGTTGCTTTGACTGGGATTCTCCCCCAAGAAGTCTCGCTGCTTTTTTGGTATGATCTTCTTTATATTGCTGTTAATCACCCTGGTGTATTTGTGTTTTAGACTGAGAGATAATACAGTGTTGATGTGGGCGGTTCTGATTTTTTTTTTATTTAAAACTTTGCATTATGAAGATACTGCAAATCATGTGTATTCACTTTTTTTAGAAAAAGTAATTAAGTTTAAAATGTCACACAAACAAGATAGAAAGGGGGTTTTATTTAATTTATAATTGTACAAATAATGTAAGCGAGTGATACAACTCAAAATACAGCCAGTGAACTATGGATCTATCTTCAGCTTCTCACACATTACTTCTGTTAAGTTTTGTTTGGCCCCCTTGTATAGTGCATATTTACTCTAAAACTTCTTTTGACTATTTCACAAATTCTTTTACATATCATGAATATTTAATTAGTGTTATTTTGTCCTCCACATATCAATATATGTTACACCTGTAACTTTTTTAGAACTACAAAGCTCTGGACCCAAAGAGTTGCTTCCTTACTAAGATTTAGTGCTCTTGGTTAAAAAAACCAAACCAAACCAAAATAAAACGAGCTTTAAAATCCTTAATGCAAACAAACTAGTACCTTTTAGACATCAAGCTCTGGTCATAGTTCAGTTTTTAGTGAATTCATTTTTAGTGATCTCAATGAAACTGCTATTTTTCCATAAACATTAGCTTCATTAGTATTAACCTTTATTTTCCTGTTAAATCTTGAACATTCCAAGCATAGTTGTAGATTACGTTGTGTTTCCCAGGTGAATATCTTTTTATTTTCAAAATCATATGAACTACACACAAGACCAGCGTCCCTGTTTGGTTTTTGCCTGATGGAGTTCCACCAGGAGTAAAAATGTATGCACGGACACGCTTTCTGGAACATCTAAATTTATTAAGTTGGCTGAAATACTGAAATTATGAGCCTCTCCACAATGAATATGAACAGGGAGTGTTTTCAGTCTTTCTTTGAATAATTATAGAGGGAGTTGGCTGACAGTACTCCTAGCATGGGTGCCTAAAGCTCAGGTGCCTCAAATTTGGAGACATCAAACCAGGCATTGGAGCTGGCTGCACTGGGGCAGTGAAATGGGGTGCTTTCATGTGCCACTAAATCATGCTGTTTTGCAGGAAGTTTCTTCTAGCAGGGCTCAGTTTGTACTAAGTGACTTGTTAAACGCCACTGTAGCCTGTCAAAGGATGGCAGAAAGCTGTCGGTCCTTGGTTGCAATGTTCATCAAGAGTACAGGAGATACATGTGTTGTTCAAACTCTCAGGGATTTTATACTTTAGTGTAGTAACTACACTGTGCAAAAATCTAAATATACTTGCTACTGTTTAATTTAGAAAGATGATATGTTATTATTTCAGTTTAAAATGATCAACATTTCATAGGAAAATGCGTGTTGCTACATAAAACTTAAATGTTCATGTTGCTGTTACTGCTCCAGTTAGTAAATACTTCTATGTACAAGTCTGATTTTAATATGGATGTGAAACACCCACCTGTCATTGGTGGAAGGAAGGAAATGGAAAGACATCCTATTCTCTGGGGCAAATGAAATTATTTCTTTCTCATGGTGCACTGCTGTGGCCATGGAGGAAGTTGTGTTCCTGTGAAATTGTAATTGTTTCTGATCGTAGAAGACATTCAGAATCATAATGAGTAGTTGGAAATACATAAAACACGGAACTTGAGCAGAGAGGTCTGTAGTGGAGATACGTCATTATTGTAGTTATAGTGTATTGTAGTAGAATGTGTTCCTGATTTTATTTATATAATATATACTTGTGGTAGTTATGGACACGTTACATCTCAGTCAGTGCTGTGACTTCACGGATGTGTTCCCGCTCTGCATCCAAAGTGCATCCTGTGCTTTTCAACCTGATGTTATTCTGTCCAAGGATCAAATCATCCCTCTGTTGGGCAAAACATTGATAAGTTTTTGTTAGCCAAGTCAAATCTACATGAACTTCTATCATGGTCGTAAGCTTTGGGGATTTAGGTGGTTTCTGGAGTTTCATAGCTATCACAGGCCCTTGAAAAATCTTGAGAGTTGTCCACTTGCACATGTACTGCTGAATTATGCTTGCACTAAGGTTACGCTGGAATTTAATAGATTCTATAAAAAAGCTGTACTTATATGTATCATTTTCATCTCTTCACTATTATACAAATAGTATCTCCTCCTGAAGTTGTCTCCCAGAGGTTGTAGAATGTCACAGTGAAATGTCAGTGCCAGAAAGGAGATGAGAAATAGGCCGTTCTGGAGGTTTCCAGCTCTGTAGTCAGACTAATAAATAATGTAAGAGAAGTAAACTTTTGAAATAACCATTTCTTCCTTCCTGTTGGATTTGAAGATGTACCTTGATGGGTAATGTCGCAATACAGATTTACAGCCATTTCTCATAAGTTACATATGTGAGGGTTGATTTTTTCAGATCTCCCGTTGCCCCAGGTTCTTGGCGTTACAATTACAGGTACCCTTTTCTTGTACCTCACCCCATGTCTTTGCTTTCTGATGGGGCCACTGTTGCGGAAGACTACAGCTGAAGAAATTCTGACAGACTAGCTCAGTTTTCAGCAATGTAGTAAGTTAGTTGTAATTAATGAGAGATCTGGAAAGGAGGACTACTCTTGGAAACCCACAGAAAGCCTTGATTAATACGGTGACTATAATACGCCACAGTTATCTGCTTTATGCTCTTCGCACGCTGAAGACCTGCACTGCAGGTCTTTTTAAAGTCATTCTCCTTGGAGAGTCACAATGTTAGTCATCAAGACTAAAAGTGTTCATTGAAAGGGCTTGCTGATTATTTATACTCCAGGACTTAGCTGTCTCAAACCTTTGCATTATTTGGGACATTTTAGGAAAGGAAATGCGTTATTAAAGGTTTAGGATGGTTCTTTCTCAAATCTGTCCAAAGGCGCCAGCTCAATGACCAGTGTTGCCCATGCTGTACCTAGAAGTACAGAAACCTAGAAGTTAAGTTTTCAATGTTCTAGATTATGCATTTCCTCAACTAAACAATATTTTACCTGTTTCTGTTGAACTTCATAAGCTCATCACCTTCACTGAGGATTTTGCCTGAATGACTTAAGGTTTTGACTCCTTTTTTTTTTCTGTGCCTCAGTAATTCACAGCCGAAGAATAATTGCTACCCAGACATTTTTTTATATTTTTGTGCTAATATAACCGTGATGTATTATTAGCTGTTATTTTTCAGATATTCAGAAGTATTTGTAAATAGCTCATGAAACATAGGTTGATCTGGCTAGAATATGACTTTGGATTTGAACCATCAGAAGATTTTATATTCTCTCCTCCTTTTACATATTTATTTCCTGTTAAACAAAGGAAGTGTATAGCGGCAATGTTAAATTAATGTTTCAGTTCCAGAACAGCTTTATTATATTGCATATATCCCTGTTATGTCTAGAGGCAGATCAGAAATGTGTTACGTGTTTGTGTTTATGCTTCTTAAGCACCTAAATACAATGGAAAAGAATAGAATACATAGAAAGAGCCTTTGCTGTAAATTCACATGGTTTTCTGTATTTAAAACAGACCTTTGGATTATTTAGCAGTTAATTTTTTTGTATTTTTAAATTCGGTAATTAATATGGTATGTTTCAGGCAGAAGAACTTTATTAGATTATGCAAAAGTGGATTTTTTTTCTTTATATTATTCTACTGTGGGCACTGAAACATGTACTAAATTGGGCCTAATCTCCATGAGCTTCTTGACCAGACATTTGTGTTCTTGCAGATGTCAGTGGGTGCAATGTAGGGGGAAAAAAGTGTACACTCTTTTTTTCCAGTACTGTCATTTCTCACTGTAATGAGCACAAAAATAATTGGACAACTGAGCTATCAGTAAAAGGACACACTTCAACATGAGTCAATGAATTATTTTACGGGACAAACTTTAATCTTTAAATGTGATTGTAGATAATTTGTGCTACCATCTGTCCATTTGGAATTCTTTTAGCCTTTTCAGTCGTTATACAGTAAGTGCTGCTGTGTTTAACATTAACATTTGATATTTTACACATTTAATTTCTGTACTGCTGTGTGGTCCTTGGGGAGCTTCGCTCTAGTGCTACATGAGAGAGACAAAGTATTGATCAGTTAACATTTCAGCTACATTTATGTATGTCGCAAAATTAATGAAAATGCCAGACAAAAATGTCAGAGTGCACAAAAAGGTAGAATTTAAATTTGGTAGTTTAATGAAAAGTTTAAGATGTGCATTATCAAAAATGTCCCCTTGCCTTTAAAGTACAATTCATAACTGAGTAACTAAAGGGAACCACATATTTTACTTACAGGAACATAAAACATGAAATATGAGGGAATATATAATCTTCAAAGTGTTTGGTATCCCAAAATGGCCTCAGTAAAGCACTTTAATTGCCTGCTTGAACATTTAACTGTTACTCATAAAATAAACTTGTTTCCTTTCTCATTTGGAAGCAGAGTACCCTCACCCGATCACATGCATACTTCTCAGTATGTCCTCACATTAAAGCTTTCTATGAACGTGTTCTCCTATTCCTGTTCCTATTCCTCTGAATCTTTCTATACGTGTGTATGCATGCACACAGAAAATACTTCTCTTTCTTAGGCTTTGAAATATTGATAAAATGACTCACCCTGCATCCAAGTCATTTGTCAGGTCTAACTCACCTTTGCTTTGTCTTCTAACGTTACACAATTCATGTGTGAAAATGACATAACAGTGTCCCTAACCTTTGATTAAGTGTTAGTTCTCTTGCACATAACACCATTTAGTTGTGGTGGTGTCATGCTAATTAATTGAAACCGAGAAGGAAACAGGAGAAAAAAGAGCTGGTCCCTAGCAGGAAACGAGACAGTAAAGTAATCTTGTCAACTTGCTTAGCTTTTCCCTATTAAAAAGGGAAATGATCACTATTGTATATTTCAGAAGCAACTTCCACTCAAAGCTGAAGGACAGAGATTATGTTTTGGGAGAGACTTGATA